TATAGCCGAATTATTCAATCACTATTTCAAATCAACATTCAGGATTGGCACAATTTCAGATTTGCTGAAGTTTATCACCATAGAAATACATGAGAAAGTTAATTATCGTCGTTAATAAATATCTGCATCACGGTATGGACAATAATATTACCATTCGCATAAAATTGGGACGGTAATTTCAAATCTTGATAGGTAATATTAAAGCCAGCGCAAATGTTAATTTGAGTCCTCAATGTCTTCAACAGCTGTTGCCGATGTGAACGAACGGGTAAACCCGAAATATAAAACTTCGATGTCCGCCGACCCACAAGAATTCATATTTGTAAAAAAAGAGGGCGGGAATATAGATTACCCAAACCTGGATATCGCCGCCAAAACGATCGGTGACAAGAACAATTAGCGATTACAACGGAATTAACCAGTAAAAAGGCTTTGTTGCCGATTTTTTAATGTTTCCACCACGTTTATTCGGTACTCCTTGAAAATATTCGATTTAAAAAATATTGAATTTTGCCCACCCCTCCTCGCATATCAATGAGAAATAGTTGTGTAAATATCGCAAAAATCCGGAAAATGCCACGTCCTTTCAACATTGTGATTACAATAAAATGGCATTTATGGTATTTTGTGAATTTGTTGATTTTGCAAATCTGTGACATGCTGCTAAAAGTTTCGTCTGATTTGAAAATCGTGCAGTTTGGTCACAATTCATCCAAAGTGACTATAACACGTTACTAACATCGATATCATTGATAGTCACATGACCACTCTCGTTCAAAGAAACGCCCCGTGAGCGTTTTTTGCAGGAGAAGCGGAATCCGTGTGCTTGTATAATAATCATATTAAAAAACAAGAATTTTGCCGTTAATGCAAAAGCTTTATCTCCTATGTCTGCATCTCATAGGTTAGAATTCCGGTAAATATCGTTATGATATGCAGAATTGAGTTACAAAAGTACCAGTATGTTACTTATTTGTCAACTTAATACTCGAAAATATTTGTTAACTTTGAATTTTTATTCCATTCAAAATCGGAAAAAAGTGCTATTTCTCTTCAAAATCGGAAAAAAGTGCTATTTCGCAGTCCCTAAAAAAAAGTTGCGAAAGTGTTTCGCAATTTTCGCAAAAAAGTGCGCTAATAGTGAACACTGATGTACAGCATGTATATGCTATGTAAATAAAATATTTTTAAGCCAAATTTGAAAACAATACAGGTTTATAGAATATTTTGAGTTTGAAAGGAAAAAACTGTATATGATTCCGGCAATATTTAGACTTGTTTATTTTGAGCTGAGAAGTCTTGATATCGTTAAATTCTATATGATCAGTTTTAAAACTTATTAAACGCAACGTCACGTGAGGGTACCGGACGACAAAAATATAGGTTTGCAGTAGATTACAAATAATAGGAAAATTCCTATAATAACAAAGTGTAGCGAATATTTCCAATAATATATGCCAGCTAAACAAAGTCTTTTTTGAATGGGCTGTATTCATCATTGAGGATATGCCGTAATCAACTACTTCTGAAAAGGCTATATCGTGTCTGAATAGGTTATGCCCTTTCTAAGAAAACTAAGCCATTTAAGAACAGAACAGACGTTTTAAAAATTGCAATATTTTTGTGTATGCCTTAAATCGGTCGCGCTCTTTCTTTCAAATACACGCATTTCCGTAAATGCCTTTATCTTCACTAAAAAATGCAATGTCTCTTTTAATCAGGCTAAAATTTTACGTTCATTCTAATTTGTAAATATCGCCCAAAAAACTATAGCACCGAGGTATCTAAACATGGATTATGCAAAACGCGGATAATATTTAAATAACACAACCCGAGTTATTAATAAATTATCGGATAGTTTAGGCAATTTTACAGCCAACTTCTCTATTGCTTTATAATAGTATTCGCAAAGTTACGTTTTACAACTCAAATTTCTTTAAAAATAGAATATCGCGACTAATAATAATATAAACTAATATTAATTCTGCTAAGTCATTGACTATGTTAAAGTAAATGTAACGCGATAGCTGATTGATCTGAAACGACATACCACGACGTGAATGCTTATATAGTTTACTTACAGTAGTCGAATGCGGTCAATCTTTAAGAGTTGATGCGACGCAATAAAACTTTATAATTAAAGTATGATATCGATCTGAAACGACGTCAATAGTCCGAAACACGACGCTGGAATATATAGTCGAATATGTATATGTTTTTCGCAAAAAATTAAAGCCTTATTAGTAAAGTTTGATATCGATTGAATGGAGGCAACTAAATGATAGAATAGTTACAGCGTGCTGAGAAATAACCTGTTTACGAGTTTAATAATAGATAAAGCGATTTAGTATGCGCTGATATTTGATATTCGTGAATCCTAGGATCGATCGAATATCAGTTGAATAGTTTTGTAAGAAAGAAAGCAAAGTTATTTGTCGATATGAGAAGTGAAACACTCTCAAATATATGTTATATAATACGGTATTAAACTTAAAACAATCGAAATAAATTTTGTAATATCTAAAAATATTCTGTATGCCAATGCGCATTATACTAGCCAGAGCGATGATCCATGTAAAATTGCCCGCTAGTCTTATAACCAGGGCCGTGCGGATTTTAAAATTATACACGGCTGTTGTAAAGTTTATAGGAAATCCATAAGAACTGTGATTCTTTTTAAAAATGTCTCGCCTTTTCCTAAAAGGTTATATCGCTTCAAAACAAATGTCATTGCTAAAAAAGAAGCACGCTAACACTGACTATGTATAGTCTGAATGGGCCTGATTACATGTCTATCAAACCGGTACGAATAAATGGTTCGATTCGGAAAACTCAAATGAGTTTCGCAGTTCGTTTTGCATCCTCTATGTCCAGGACCGACGAGAGCAATTATTCTAAAGCTTACTGCTTGGGGAAATCAGCATCAGCAGTTTGTATGTAGCACATGCAACATCGCTTAGTACTGACTGGTGCTGTATTCCACGCACACTGCAGGTGACATCAGGATTATGTATTGCATACTAACAAATTATAAAATTTGCCGGTAGAATACTTACGCAATCAAGTGTATAAAACGAACTTAGCGTAAATTAATGAGTAAACAACTTTCGTCTCTGTTTGGTCGACTGCGAGCAGCGGCGATACCTTCAGCAGCACAACGATGCAACCGGTGAGAACGGACAATACCACAGGACGTTGATATGTGTGAATCGACTATAGTAGATTCAAAGATAAAATTTTGTTAATGCGCGAGCCAGACATCGCGGGCGCATGGTGATCATAAAACAAAACTTAGAGGGAATTCTAAACAATACGTAGAACAAAAAACTAGATGACTAATCTGCAAAAAACTTCACTGCGAATATTTGATTTTATGTTCTTTGCTTCAGAAAATCTGCAAATGAAGATACGATACTAAAAGTCATGTTATACTGACTGACAAAATCAAAGGCAGTTTATGATGTAAAGCTTACAGTGCAGCCTAAGTTAAATGCATGTTGAGATCATTGATTACTGCAAACGCACCATAAAATTCCAATGAGATGAGAGATGTACAATGAATCTTGTTTGAAAGGAATGTTAGAGTATCCCGGTACATAAAACTTGCCTAAGAACATTACGACATTAGCATCCTGGTACATCAAACTTGCTCAATAATTATTCAACATCAGCATTAATTTTTGTAAGATTCTAGGCTACGGATAGCGGTATTTCATACAAAAGACTTTATAAATAATTCTAAAATACACTTTGTATCGGTTTGTGAAACCGCGAAATGTTGTAGAGCAGTGGTTCCCAACCTTTTTTGGCTCGCGACACCCTTTGGTGGTTTATACATACGTCGCGCCCCCATACCTCACTTTCTATACTTATCAATAAAACAAGCGGCAAAGTTCGTACCCCTTCATGGCAGCTGCTTCCACGAACGAACTGATGGCAGCTCTTGCCGTGGTCATGGAGCTATTACCGGTTTATTCACCAAGTCGTGTACCAGATTTTAGTTTATCATGCAGAATTATATTTACCTAAACCTGAAACCCCCCAAATCCATCAAAACTGTATCCATAAGAAAAATGTTTCAACTTACGCAATATTTATCACCCTCAGGGGCAGCCCTGCCATTGCAGCTGACATGCCGTGGTTACGGAAGCAAAATGTTACCCGCCTTTGGTTTTTAATTTGCTGACGTGGTAACGGCATCTCGCCATTAGTTTGTTGCAGCTCAAAAGTCAGTCGCCATGGGTTTGGTCATAGAGGCCTTGGTTTGGAAATCCCGCCACGCTTCAGACGCCGCAAAATACTTGAAACTGCACTTCGCAAAGTGAATATTAGTTTTTTATCAACCTGCAGTTTTACTGAATGTGACGGCTGACATTGAAACCGCGTAGCCAACTGCGTAATTCGTGGTTTAGTTTTTGACAAAGCAAATATCACATCATCCTCGACCTTCATTCGATTTCGTGCTTTTGTTTTTATATAAACAAGAGCTGAAAAGCCGCTTTCATTTTGTCGCTTCTACGACATGGTAAATAAAATGACGGAATTATAACGTTACTATAGGATGTATAATAACCTTCAGGTTGAAACAACATACCCCATCGGTATCGAAATACTGGCGTTCCACAGCACTGCGTGTTTTGCGCATTGCGGCGCACGGAAATGCAGACGAGTTCATATGACGTCACAATGGTTAACATGTCATAAACATCTCGCGCCGCTTGCTTAGTTTTCAAGCAAGAAGTGAAATTCTGGGGTCTCACGACAGCTAGTGGAAATCTTTCGGAGGCAGACGAGAGTCCATTCCAGAATTCTTCGCGTTCTATTGACAATATTAAACCTAAAGTTTTGTATTATTTTCTACTGTTTTGCAAAACCTTCGCGACCAGAGGTTGGGAACCACTGTTGTAGAGTCCACAATGTACAATGATGAGAATTTATTTCACATCAAAATAATTCTATAAACAAATTAAAAACTTTTCTTCATTCAGTTAATACTTAACTACACTAAAACTTCGAGATGAAAATCTCAATAATTTTCATCTTAATCTGCGTCATCGCGCCATCCTGGTGCCAAGATGAAACAGTGTTTCACTGCTCACCCAAGCCGGGTTGCCAGATTGCACAATGTGATCCGGTTGCTGTAGGATGGGACAGACCAGGTTTCAACATCGATAAACATCTACATGACAAAGAGTTTCCGATTACATGCAAATCTAAGAATGCGGCAAAACCTCAGAATATTGGCAATCTATTTCCTTCAGTATCCAGGAATATTTTAGGCAAGTATCTTTTCTATTCGATAATTAGGAAACAAAATATCCCAATTCGGTCTTCGTTGCAAACAATCATAATAAATATGATACATAGCGACTTCGAGTTCGAAAGAAATATCTTCTTACCCACTAGGCCTGGATCAACTAACACATAAAACACCGAGATATATTTAGTCACACGTTACTGACTATTCAATGATGCCATTTGTATTTTCTTGAATTTATTAGAAATCATTAAATTAAATTGCTTATCTATTCATTCAGATATCGAACATATCAAATCAGATTTAAGAAAACTGGAGGAAGGGTTCGAAAATAAATTGAAAAATATTGACAGTTCTGGAAATGACGGTTAGAATCTGAAATTTATTACCTATTTCATAGATTCTCAAAGTGCTCCGTACGGAGTCCCTGAGAGAAACCTAGGAGTTTTGCAAGATATTCCGTTATTTTTTAAAATACTGCTTTGGCTAATTTATACCTATCCAAAGGAGCAATATAACGGCATTCATAAAATTTGACAACAGTATCGTATGAATGTAGCGGTGATTCAAATATGACAGGGGTGGGCACAACTTTTTAGTATAAGAGCCGCATGCTGCAAGTTAGAACTTTAAAAGAGCCGCAGAATTTGTGAATTTATAATTATTAAAATACCATGAACAGAAAAGAAATTCACACTAGAGTCTAATAACAATAAATAGATAAACAAGGCAGCTATGCTCAAATATATGCACAATTTGAGCTCAATTAATTTGTGTTTCGTTTTGGCTAATTTACGAGGGTAGACTCGTAAGAAGTTTTCATGATTCGTTTCATGGTGCCGTTTAACATTGCTTTATACTCACTTAGTAGCTTATGGCAGATTAAGACATATCGCACAGTAACTTAGACTAACTAACCGCAATCAAGCTGCAATACCGCCGATACCATTGTGACGAAACATTTGCTGACTTGGCTGACTTAAATTCAAATTCAACGCTCAGCGATTTTCATACTAAAACATAATTTGTCTTGATCATTGACGAAAACTTCTTTACAACTTTGAATTAATTAAAAAATATTACATTGAAGTTTTTCTCTTAGTTAAAATTTTGATAATAATTTATGTTAGCGAGAAGAGCCGCACAAAAAGTTTAGCGAGCCGCATGCGGCTCGCGAGCCGCGGTGGTGCCCACCCATGAAACTTGACATGATCTTTAATACATACTTTTTATAAATATATTGTGGAGCTCGTAAATAATAGTAAACCTCATCACTCTATGACATCAAAAGTTTGAGATTTTTTGCTTCGTTAAATTAATCTCTCCCTGATAAATAGATAGCTATAAGCCTACATATATTTATTAAAAATTTTCGTGACAAATTCGTATTTTGTAACCGGAAATTTGACCCGAGATTGTGCATATTTTATAACAGAAAAGAGCAGCAAAATTGAAGAACAATCGAAAGAATTCAACAATCTTAAAAGAAAAGATAAACAACAATCTGATGAAATGAAGAATCTGAAGGAAGGTGGGTTATATATTCGTCTTCACATTGCACTGAGAATGTATTTGCTGAATGTAGATAGTAGAATGATCGGTTCTCAATTCACACTTTTAGGAAATAAAAGAAGAATTCTTCAAAACGTATCTGTTGAATTTATATCCAACATATATGTATAAACAATATAAAATTCATGCTTTTGTTATACTTACTGAAGGTCAAGCTAGATTTGAGTTGCGATTCATCTAACATTGAGTAACTCAGTAACCGCGATTGTAAAATTCTAATTGCTGCTGAAATCGGAGAGTGCGTACAAAACCCAACCTTTTTATTTTTATCAGAATTTGAGAAGCTTCGAGCCATGAATAGCAAGTTAGTGGAGGAGCAGTCGAAAACTGCACAACAGTCTACTGAAATAAGAGAGTTGAAGAAAGGTAAGTGAAGATTTTCATCTTATTTCTGGTATTTTAACTTACCAAAATTATTGAATTTTTATGTACACAACGTATTGAGGTAAGCAACCATAATAAGGAATTATTACATCACAATATAATGTTGTAAACAATCGTTATGAAACCCCACAATAAGGAAATACATTAGAGACAACCAAAACAACTAAAAACGCTAGAAATTTGCAAAGAGTGAAAAACGTTTTTATAGCTTTGTCGTTTTAGCATATGGCTAATACGTGTTTTCCAATATTTATATTAACATTTAGCGATATACCGGATTGAACAAAGACTTGCTGTTATGGACAAGTCTCAGCAGCTTCCAAATAGATTCGGGCAGATAACTACACCTACTCAAACAACATTGAAACCAACTCCTCCTCCAGGTGAATAACTTATCCGATCCAAGTTGTAGTTTATGATTTATGAATCATTCTCATTAAAGTGAATCTAATAAAATAAGGCGATATTTCTAAATTTGATGTAGCCGAAACCGAGTAATGTCAGCAAGTGTTGAATGTGATTGAATATTTTTTTTTGCGTAATAACAACCAAAAAACAACATACGCATTGTGTTATTGGCTTCATCGTATTTTCTGAAGCCGGCTAGTCCGATTTGAAAATATTGAAGTATTGTTTGAATGTACCGGGTGCTTCTTGCCCAAAGCAACGATTGATCATTACTCGATATATTTTTGAGTATACATTTATTCCATTTCAGAAAACTGCAAATTGAAGGTCGGAAATATCTGTTACTTTGCTGTGATACATAGTGAACATGATGTCACATACGACAAAGCAGTTGATATTTGTCAGAAACGTAACGCACATGCTGGTTTGATTCGAGATGAAGAATCTTATAATGCAGTTGTGAATTACTTGAGAATGAATACTCCGGATGGAAAGTTATATTTTTGGATATGGACAGGATTTAAGTTTGATTCAATGGTTAGTATCATATGATCATGCCAATTATTCTCATCTGTAGGAATATAAAATACATTACTACATTACATTTCTGGAGCTCCTTTTAGTTTTATTTACAGGTAGGTTACAGCTCGGTACTACGGAGCCAAGCCACGCAATGATATTGAGATCGCCACGTAAAATATAATATGGCCAAATACAGGTGAATGGGGAAGCGATTCCGAAAAGCCATCTCGATTAATGTTCTGTGGTCGTTGTTGTTTGCTTTGGACTGATACGTTGGGCTTATTATTAATCCACGACTTATGCAAATTGATAAAATAGTCAAAATTAGTACCGTATGGTGGGCTGGGATATATTTGATAATGAAAATCGAATCAAGATCCGGAGAATATGCGAGAAAAATCGACGTAAATGGTTGATTTCTGTCAAATCTCATAAGAAAATGCATTACGCATCTCTGAAAAGTTGGAAGTCTATCGACTAAACATGAGAGCCTTCATTTGGTCCCGCGGAAATGAGAGAGAAGGGCACTTTTTATTTATATATCTCTGTAGTTTCACTGAACTGACTGGGCCCTAGAGTTTAATCAAACAGTAATTGTGCATTATAATAGTTTTGGACAAGCCTTTGCCCAGAGCATGAAGTACTACATGAAAAGGCATGTAGTACTTGTAATTGCATTTACTTTTGACCTAGCATGGATCAATAATAATATATATCAGTCGTTTTATCCAATCACCTGAAGACTTGTATTGCACTGAATTGCGTAGAGTTTAGTCATAAAGGAATTGTGCAGTGTAATAGTTTTGGACAAATTCATGCTCAGCGCATGAACATGAAGTTTTACGTATTATCACGTGAGAGACTAGAAATACTTGCATTTATATTTGACCAAGCACGTATTTATGACTATAAATGCGTGATCATGCTTGATTCAGTGATAAACGCCATCTAATTAATTTTTTAGACTGGTGACGTCATACCTGCAGATTCATTCATAAAATGGTTTCCACGTCCAGATAATCCATACAAGGGAATTGAATATAAAGATTACACAAACGTTTATCTTGTTGTTAATTCCAACCCGAATGCTAGTTATCAAGGAATGGGTAATGCTGCTCCTATCTATGTGCATCATGGAGTTATTTGTGAGATCCTGATTTAATGAAATGTCTGTCTGTCTGTATTTTGTTCCTTTATTATCAATAAAATATAAATCATTGAATCCTAAATGAAATTTATACGATTAGCCTTACGCTGATTGATGTCGTTATCACAGCTATAATAAGGTAAATTAAATTATGGTAAATTTTCATTATCCAAACGTAAAAATGATTCCTACTTTTTGAAATTTTTCAGTCCTGCAAACAATTTATTTAAAATCATATTTTTACGAAATATAGTTGGGCATTTCATAATGTTATTTTCATCGTTTTGCTGATCTTACTATACCGAGTTGTAAAATATTCAAATTTGAGTGAAAATTTAAGATTTATTTGCATAATATTGGAATTTGAGAATTTCAACTCGTAATAAATTCGGCTAAAGTGCAATATCTTTGTTTTTTCTGCCGTCTCTCATAGAGATCAGGCTGACGACGAAATAGGTTCGTAAAATTAGGATAATTTATCTCGCAAGAACACAAGGACTGGAATTAATTAAATAAGCGGAAAGCTGAAAAAATCATCCAAATTGTTTCAACAATGAATGGATACATTGAAAAGTTCAAACATTACATTATTACGCTTTTAAGGCAAAAAGTCTGAAACTGCGCCTCCAAAACAATGAAACCCGTCACTCAGATTCATTTTAAATACCGTTTTATTCATTTGGACAAGACTAGTTAATATCGCGCGCAACATAGTATAGATGAAATGGGGGCCAAAATAGATATTGGCAGTGCAAAATCATCACAGAACCTTTTTAATTAATTACTCGGAAAATTACATGGAGTGACAACTTTGGGCAGTGGGTTTGCCCAAATTGACAAGGATTTTGTTCAACTTTGGCATATTGAAATATGGCTGTAGTTTGAGGTTTATATCTATTCATTCCGGTAGTGACTACAATTTTCCAATCCCGGTGAAAATCACCACTATCCAACGATCTACTGAGATGTAGAACAGGATATAAATGTTCAGAAATTTGACAATAGAACAGTAGATATTTTCAAAAGATAAATAAGGACTTAATTCGGTTGCACACCGTGTTAAAAACATCCTTCCTATCGCAATGGTGAACAGCCTGTGTAGATGTGTGGGGGATAATTATGTGCGACAGCATTACTGGGTGGTACATGTACATCTATCCTATGGTGGGTTAGGACTTCCCCCGTCATCCGCTTCCAAACCATGAACTCTTATTATACTTGCACTGAACTGGGCAACTGTGAAAGAAAGCCATAGTGTGAGTTTAGACTTTTCTCTGTCCTGAGATAAATGTAAAATATACTGTTGTATTCGCATAGTATTGCATTAAATTGTATCAGTGTTAAAAAATATATGGAACAGTTTCATATCTAATGACATGACTTGCAGAATAAGTGGATTGTAAGGTATCATAATGCTGGTTTGAACATTCAACTTGAATAAGGTTCTCTACACCAGTGGTTCCCAACCTTTCTACCCTGGCGGACCGGGAAAATTAAATGTACTAGCGGACCGCGAAAAATTGAAACGACCGGAACAGAACAGAATAATATATATTTGCGTAATATAATGCAATGTCGGGCACTCAATATGCTTCTAGACAAAAAGGGTACACTTAAAACATTTCACACGAAAAAAAACTTTTAAATAATGTGCCGGCCAAACATTGAAATGAGTTTTACAGTTATAAATTAATTGCGGTGGACATTGGTGCCTACGGCAGAGCAAGTGATGGGGGAATATTTGCAAACTCCTGTTTTGGGCGTCGTCTGCAGAATGGAACCCTGAGTCTACCCTCACCAAGGTGGGTTATTCTAGCTCAGGGGTGGCCAACCTTTCACATACCATGCGCCACGTTTTAAACATAATGTTTCAGATGCGCCGTAAATCTCTTGTATTCCCACGCCTAATGTCCGCTTCTTGTTGAAATTATATAAATCTATGATACACACACATATATACACACGTATATTAATTTTTACAATTTACAACTTCACATGAATAGAAATTAAGCAAGGAAGTATATTGAATAAAACTGATCAATTTTAAGTACCGCCTTTATGAGACTTTTGCTGCTGTTTTACTTTCGCCAGTTTTTTTATTCTTGGAGTTAAGTTTGTTACTGAGAGGAGCAGTGCATTCTTCAAATTTAAATCTGTAAGTCTTGACCTCGCTTTGCTTTTAATTAGTTTCATGGCAGAAAATGTTTGTTCACATCTATATGTCGTTCCGAAACGACATATAAAACCCTGGGCAAATTTCCTCAGTTCTGGAAAATTTTCACGGGGTAACGATTGCCAGAACTTGATCATGTCAGATGCACTTGGGACTGAAGAAAGCTCATCAAATTGAATTTTCAATGATGGATGAGTTTTCAAGTCAATTAGTTCCAATTGTATATTGCTTGGCATCTTCATTATGGTTAGTTCGCTAAGTAAAAATGGGTTTATAAAAGCAAGTATAGAGTCTTCTTCTTTTGAAATATCATGAAAACGACTTTCAAATAACTCTTGCAATAACTTGATTTTTTCTGTGTATATTGCCAAATTGCCATTACCAGCAGCACATTCACGGTGTTCTTTTATGTGAGGTACGATTAAGAAGTAAAGTTAGGCGTAATATTGTGACAACAGGCCCTTAGTATCAATCTCTACTCCACTCTACCCTCGATTCTAATTGGCCTTTGCTAATCAGCTGTTTGGCCTAGCGTCGCGTGATTTTACTCCAGGGGCTTCTTCGAGATTAGTACTTGCGTCACAGCAAGCGATTTTACGCTTCGCTTCTGTTGACAACGGTCATTTGAAGTTTGGATGAAAAAGGTGGTATTTAGGGGTCATTTTCAGCATGTTGTGGGTTGATTTATAAGAAAATGTTTAGACTTGGGCAATTCAACTGGTTGTTCAATGGTTATTGGGAGATATTTGGGAAGTCTGGGCAATGGAAAATCCATGTTTCAAGCTGATAAATGACGATTTTCTATTTTTCCAGAAGTTCTGGACTTTTTACTTCAGTAGGGAAAAAATAGTAAATTTTACTAATTTTTGCTAGAAGTCTAGAATGAATGTCATAAAGTCCATTCAAAAGCTAACGTCGATAATCGCCTGTTGTTTCTAATTTCAACAAGCCGTAAGTGGGCGACGTGGAGTAAGAAGAACAGGTTTTAGGTTAGGGTTGCCATACCGTCCGGAAAATTCCGGACATGTCCGGAATTTAGGGTTAAATTTTGCATCCGGGAGGAATTTTGAAAAATGCTCAAATGTCCGGAATTTTACTGCATCTGCAATTGTAATGTGAACACTGCTAATACAGAACATTGTTATTTCGTACCGTGCGCATATTTTTACTACGAGGTTGTATGGAATTTTAATATAACAGAGCGTTTTCCTTATCAATGGTGTTAGAGTTGCAAACGTCAATGAGAGATGCTTGGAATACCTGTGCAAATGGATGAAACCAATGGAAGAGTTTACTTGTTTCAAATGGATAACCTTGAACGAGATACCAAGTTGGAAGGATGTAAAGCAGGGGTTGGCATCCTACGGCCCGCGGGCCAGATCCGGTCCGCGGAGCAATATAATCCGGCCCGCGACGCTTCACTGGATTATAGTAACAAAACAGCTGTTTTAAAGATTATATTCTTTACGTAACAGAATTAATTTTGCGACACGCGTACGCTAAATTATGTTATAACTCACAATTGCGCGTTTAATGACCCTATAATTTAATTATAATTACACAAATGGCAACAAAACGCAGAAAAGTTGATGCTTAGCGCAAATGGTTTAATGGTGCAGAAAATATTCAAATGGTCAGTCTTCGTGCGCTGCTCTAAATTTAACTTCTGATCTGTGTGAAAAAGTGTGATTCATCGGCTATCCGTTCGGTTTTCAACATTCTAAAAATATGAGGCCCGCCAATGACTTGCAACCTTTGGTTTTGGCCCGCGAGCGACAAAAAGTTGCCGACCCCTGATGTAAAGCCTTGCCTGGAACATCTGATTAGTAAACGGGTTGATGTGGACGATGATAAATGCTTTGACCGATTCTGTAACTTGAAGGAAGCAGTTTGTGGAAAGTTACCTACAAGACGAAGAATTTATTAAACTGCCAACGCATAAGAAATGGTGCAAATATTTCGATCAGTCTACGAACATCACATGCCACTCCAAAATTTTGAGAATTGAACTGTTTTTCTTTGCTGTTACATCCCGCAATGCCAATGTAGAGAGAGTCTTTTCACTGATGCAAAGTCAGTGGACTAAAGAGAGAAACAAGTTGCGACTATAAAAGGCATGTTGACTCTCCAATATAATTTCAATAATATGCACTGTAGTGAATTGTTTTCATTTTTGAAATCAGACAAGAAGAGAATTAGATCTTCAGAAAAATATGCATGGTCAGAAGAGTAAATTTGTAGTGATTGTCTTTAATTTGTTTTAAGCATGTAATTGCTATTTTTCCGTTTCGGCACAATCTAATTCTCATTCTTATTTTTCACTCTGAAGTTGAGATTTTTTCAGTCGACGGCCCGTAGCTATATTTAGAGTGTGCTTACCTGCCTGGTGTGAGATTCTGCTTGTGACTGAAGACATTACTTTTCATTTCGGTAGCTGGCGCTTTAGAATGAGTATCGTATAGCGTTTGCAGGCTTAGCATTTCGGTAGCGCATATATATGGTCTCATGAAAATAGGGACCTCCAGAAAGAAGTATGCGCACCAAGATGGCGCACAACCTGAACATAGTTTTTGTGTACCGGTTAGGACTAAGGTTGTGCGACATAGTCATGCACTGTCCGGAATTTTGCTTTTTCAAATATGGTAACCCTATTTAGGTACAATCAAAAGTCACCATGTAAATCGCAAAAAAAAACGGCTTGGCGTGGAGAAGCCAAGTGCAATTAACAATTTTGGCATGAAAAGGGTTAAAGATGCAATGCGCCACCTCTAATCATGCAATGCGCCACGTTTGGCGCATGCGCCATAGGTTGGCCACCCCTGTTCTAGCTAATACTTTACATCGATTGACTGTTGATGTTTTTTCTAGTCTTTACCAAAAAACAGTGCCTGTTTATTGTGTGTATGCTTTCATTTATTTGTTTTTGGTTGACGAATCAAATCTATTTGTAATGAAACAGGCTATAATTTTTCATTACACCCAAGTTATATCGAGTTCGATCTGCTTTAATATTGTAAAACAGGCCAATTATTTTTACAGCTTAGTAATAATCCATAACAATAAAGCATGTTTATGCAGAAAAACTTCCTACCTAAACCGCATTTTATATTTCTGTCTAACTGGAGCTTATCTGTTTTCAGG